AATAATAATAATAATAATAATAATAATAATAATAATAATAATAATAATAAAAAATACTAAATCCAGATAAAGGAAGTCCATGACTGATTAAAACAAAACCTGCTTCGTATACTGTAAATAAAAGCCTTCTGGTGTATATATCACACAATTTTGTTTGGGAAATGCCAAAGATTTTTTTTTTAATGTAGTACAGAAAGTAATTTAGGAAAATAAAATAAAATCATACATATACAAAATTAAAGTGGTCCTTAAGGAAACTATTAAGTCTGCTAGCAAATTTGAAAAATATAACCGCAAAGAAATAACTATTAAGGAAATACAATATCATGTCCTTCTGCGGCTGAAGCTTTTATGTTTTGTGCTCCATCAATTATGCTAAAAACCGGGGATTTGCTTTGTAAAAATCTGTATCTGCTTCTGCACATACGCAGGTAGGCACATACACATACCCTTAGGTGCTGGTACTGTTTGTATTCAGCAGTTACTCTTGTAAATAAGCAATTACCTAGTTTTCTCTCCTATAACAGACATTTATTCTGCAAACCTGACATCCCCAAGTGCATACCTTTCACTAAGTTATTGAAAAATACAGTATTCAATTATAGTAATAACTATAATCTATAGCATTAAACTTGCTTCTGTTTCTACAGAAAAAGCATTCTTTGCACTCTACTCCTATATGAAAAGTATGTAAACAAGCATTTAGACCTCACAAGGTCATGTTTTGCATCCATCTGATTAGTAACATTCACAGATAAACTACCACCCTTCACTAATTGTTGCTTAGCTACAATCCTTTAATTGCATTACCAAACTCAATCAATACACAGCTTGGTGAATTCAGCTAAAAATATCCCAAGAACATGTATGCAGAACTACCATATAAAAATATGTTATCTCCCACCTCCCAGAGGTCAGTTGATTGATGTCCATATAAAGAGGCAAGAGAGGAGCTCTGAGAATGCACAGGTTTGGCATGCCAGCTTTCTTGACTGGTTTATACAACACTTAACCCAATATGGTTACTGCTTTATACTTAACCCCTACACAATCCATAAAGTCGATATGATAGTTGACACCAGCCTCCCAGAATATATACTACTATGCTTTCTGTCTTACATTATTGTAGACTTACTTGATGTTAAAACCAAGCTACCAGGCCAGACTTGATTACAGAATTTCAGTTAGCCACAATATAGAAGCAAAAAGTTAGAGCTTTTCTTACCTCTTTGCTGCTATTAAGTGGTTATCTGGATTCCTGCAGACCAGGCCTATAATCAAACTAATAGGGCTGGTTAAACATTCAAAACAGACCTGCATTATTCCACAATGTGAGAGGCCCAGTTTTAAGCTAGGGGACTTAGTACATTTGCCTTTTTTACTCCAAACAGCCTATGAACATGCAAACTGAATGGTATTTTGGAGACTTAGGTAATCCACCTTCCAAGAGCCTTATTTTTGTGCATACAGTATCTAATAATACAGACATCCAAAATCCACATACTCCAATTTTTCACATTTCTCTGATTAGGCTAATTCTGGCCACTTCTTTTACTGTTATTTGCACCATTACTTGTTGATTTCTCAAAGAGGTAATTTTAGTTTTGCTGAAGGAAATGTGTCACAAACTGCAAAGCTTCATCACTTATTTTTGATTACCTGGCAGGAAACAAATTCATAAAGAGTTGAACTTATATTCTTTTTCCATTCAGATTGGAAACAGAAACAGGAACTGATCAGAAGTACTGGATTGTGACAGAAAGACAAACAGACAGATAAGCAGGCAAAATGAGGTCTTCCATAATCTTCCTCACTTTCTAGGATGAATGGCAATTTACAGGACATTCATATCTTTACACATTTTCTTTCCCTTTCTGGATCTATGATTCCTTTTTTGAAGACCTACTAGCCTGTGTATTGTACAGAGTGTGAAAGAATCAATGTATTACCGGCTAAGATATCATAGAGAGCCTGTCTAACCATGAGCTGTAGTCAGTATCCCATTGTTAGAAGTTTTTATTTTTTTAAAAAAAAAGCAAGGTGGGATTAAATAAATTCCAGATTTTCAATATGCAGTGGGAGCTCTTATGGATAGTTGACTATTCCTAACAAAATCAGGATCCACATGCACATTGTCCTATACTTTAATATTACTGTACACTATTTTCCTTCAGTCTTTACTTTTGCATTCATCATAAAGTTCACCTTTCTTTCTTCTTCTTTAAAATGGATTATCTTCAGACTTCAGATCTATTAGTAATTACCCTTTTCTGTATATTTTGTGCATTTACCACTCTGTTTAGCCAGCAGCAACTCTTCTTTAATGTACCATACTGGAGAATTAAAACTGGAGATTTCTTATTCTTCCTGTAAATTGCACTGAGGAAAATTGTTTTGTGATATTAGATACATTAGATCAGATTATACTAGTAAGATGTCATAAATGATTTTTTTTTCCTAGTTTGATTGAAAAGAATTTTTTTGAGGGATTTTTTTTCCCCTAACAAAAGGAAAACTATAGTAACATAGATGGTCAAGAATCTGTCTGAGTGAAATCCCTTTCACACTAGAATCATGGTCATCCTGGTAAAGCCCTTACTCAAAGCGGAGGTAGAATCTCTCATGAATCAGAGACTCACAGAGAATACAGCAACACTTGATTCAGTACGTAAGACTTGTCAAGCCCTCAAGAGAGCAGTCAGCTCAGGATCCAGAAGGTAGAGAGAGAAGGATTTGGGGGAATAATAAGTCTTTTCTGACTAGTTGCCCTTAATAAGCAGCAACTGGAGCTGGGTGTCAGCTCTGCAGGCATCATTACAAAGCCTTCAGTTAGAACAAAATCAGCTATTGGAATAATGTCTTTATTTTCACTGCTGTTCTGCTGTTCTGTCATGCTTGCTCAGTTCCCAACCTAAGTCCTTGGATTCTTAAACGATTCTTCTTCTGCCAAGGCCTGGAACTGCTCACTTAATCATTGTGCTTTTCCAGTTACTCAGTATCAAGCTATCTCTGTGGACTTCTGCATTTGACACAAGACTAGGCTGCTCTTATAATAATCCAGTTTCTGACAGATCTTTGTCTTCGTCCCTGCATTTGTTAGATCTGCTAAAGCCTAGAACAGGATGCTACTATAATTGATCCAGCAGTCTGCAACCTCCCTAGCTTCCCACACTGCAGCTAAATCCCATAACAAAACTTTTCCATAAGACTTTGTCAGATCAGGAGGTATCTATATTCAGATGATGGTGGGGAGATTTGTAAAAGAAAACAAAATAGCCATAGCACTTCAGGAAAAGGAACAACAACAATTCAAAAGCAGCAGCTAAATAAATTCTAAAACGTCAGAGAGTATGGTAAAAATAGAACTATGTTTTGCAGGACAACAGAATTTTGGGGAAATTGGAGGATAGATTTTGATACGGTGTTACTTGTAATATATGACAATCAATACAACAATGTCACATCTTCACTGACAGTAAATAGTTTGTCATATGATTATTAACATTCCCACTTATTCTTACATAAACTATTCCAGATGCTTAGTATATGCTTATTACCCTTTCTTATTATTATTCTTACCACTAATAACTTTTTTTTTTTTTACCAAGATGAGGTCTTTTTAGATAATGTTTATTCTTCTAATCTTCTCACACAAAATGAATTACCTGAATATTTTGGAGAGGGGGGCTTTTTTCTTTTCCTATACAATCATAAAGGAAATTTCTGAACTGTCCAGCTAAAGATAAATGTTTCTAATATCATGCCTGACCAATTTAGGGATTACTAGTTCTCTGTTTCAAGTCATGTTGTGAGGAGAAACCTTCACAGTATGTTACTCATGGCAATGAAACATTAAAATGAAAAATCTGTTAGTGTTTTATCATAGTGGGCTAATTTTATTTTTTTATTTTTTTTATTTTTTACTTTTCTTGAGTTATTTGGTTTTCTTGAGCTGAAGCCAACACTGACAGCATGGACACACACCAGAAACACCAACTTGTTCTAACTTGCCTTATAGATGGAATTCCATTCAGCTGGTGGATTGGAAAAATCAATGAGACACAGACTTACTGGGGAGGTTCCACTCCTGATGTTCAGAAATGTGCTTGTGGAATAGAAGGAAGTTGCATTGATTCCCAACATGATTGTAACTGTGATGCTGACAGAAATGAATGGTGATTGTTTTCCCTCTCATTTCTTTTGTTCTCAAGAACTTATAGGCTGAATGTTAAAATATGTTTTTAACTAAAGATGCTTATAACTCTGTTTTCAGGGCCAAGGTATCAGAAGACTCTAACAGAGCTGCCCTCAGAATTACTGCACAACACTTTCTTAAACTACTTCCCTCCCCACATGCCCCCCCCCCAAATTGTCCATGATTTTCTTAGGGCTGATCCAAATGTTCTTTAGCAGACATTTTCAGGACATTCCTAGATAAGGCAGGGTGGGCAACTGAACTGGTGAAAACAGGGGTTTGAAGAAATTCTGACGGTTTCTTTTCTTTCCTTTTCTTTTGCCATAATTCAAGAGTCAGTTACAGAGACTTGTACATGCTTATTAAATACCAGTTTCCTTCTGAGCAAAAACATTGTTCTGATAGTTGGTACTCTGCTAGAGTAACAAACAGCATGCTGTTGACAAGCTGAGAAAACCTGAAGGAATACAAACCTATACTTCCTTAAAGCTTGAGAGACCAAGGGGATATGGATAAGAAATGAAATGGTTTTGACCAAAGTTTATGACTATTCTGATAGTGGGAAAAGGTGAGTCCTCATTGGTCACAAAATTGTTTTGATATATCCTTGTGCCAATGGTATTGTATCTACAGCCAAGGAAATATCATTTCAGGGCAGTGAAAGATGTTCCAAAACCAGGAATATGTGCTTGAAGAATTGGTCTATGTTTTCATGGGAAGAGATATTCCTGCCATCCCCAGCTTCTGGGCTGCTAGTGTAATAGCATGCAGGCATGATAAAATAAAGAAATCCAGATGCAAAACTGTCAGCAAGCCAGAATTATAAGTTTGGGAGACCACAGATTATTTTCATCATGAAAAATTCAGAAACTTGGATAAATGTTAGCAAATTATCCTATTTTGTTCTCATGAATCAAAGGGATTAGTTCTTTAGGTAGCAAATAAGCACTGATTGGCTGACAGGTTTCTTTGCTCAGATATTCAACAAAAAGGAGAAATCTTGATTGCTACTTCCCTATGAGCTCTAGGCTCACAAATATGTAGACTTGTAATGCCCACAGCATTTGGGGTGGATCTGATTTAATCTTAGGGTTGTTTTAAACTGGATTGAAAAAGCTTGGAAAACAAAAGGACGGTCATCAGGAAGAGCCCAAAGAGTTCCTTCAAGAATAAAAAAAAACAACCCTCCACAAATGACAAACAGTCTTTTGTTTTTGCAAAAATCACATAGATCAGGATGGATATGGAGGGTTCACTGTGAGTGACAAATCTAATTTCTAAATTGCAGGGAATGGTTTATCTCAGAAGCCATTATATTTTATTCTTCCATTAAAAAATGTTAGATTAGTTTCTCTGTAAAATGGCTGGATAGTGTGTAGTAGAGGAAGAGGAAATATTGGAGACTAACAGGTTTATCTTTGAGTCAGCAAAAAAGGTAACACTTTGGAGAACAGTTTGCCTGGGATATGCTAAAGAAAAGACCAGTAAATGCCTGCCAACGTATATTCGTGCCAAAGGATGATAGAGAAAGATTTTAGAAACCATTTCCAAGTCAAAACATTTGCCATAAATGAACATTTTAGGAATCGCACCCAAATCAAAATACTTGCTTAAAATAATGTTGTTTTGATTAAAACATTAATGAAATTTAATACTATGGATGGAGTTTTCATCAATGCTGCCTGCCAAAATGCAAAGAGGAAATGTTAATGAATTATTTTTAACCATCTTTAAATTTTTAAAGGCTACTATGGCTGTAATATGCCATCTAATTTTGTCACAATACTACTAAATGCCAAGTGCTTTATAAGAGAGAGAACTGAAAAAAGTCTAGCTTCAAAATCTCTTCACTTACTCTTCTGTAATTGTGATGACTTCATCCCTTCATAATCATCTAATATTTCTGCAAAGTTCTGCTAAAAAGAATCAATCAATTTGCATTTTCCCCATAAATAAAGCTGATTTTCATTTGTTTGTTAAAAGCAGCCAGTTTTTTAAAGCTAAATATAAATATGCAAATATGCAGTTTAGAAAGACAAGCATATTTGGTTCTGTGTTACAGAACTTTGTTAAGTTTCTAAAACCTACTTATGAAACATGACATTTTTACTGCAAAATTTAAGAATAGGAAAACTAAATTTGAAATCCTGAGAATGTGGCTGAGAAAGGGCAGTTTTGCCTAGCCCTAATTTTTATTCCCTCCCCAGAAAAGGAAAAACACGTCGTAGACATTTTATATTGGACACTTTGCTCCCTTTCTCATCCAGTAAGTCCAAGGCATTGTAGAGTATGGAAAATTTTCAATTTCCTTGCAGAACTACTGTACTACTAATGATAATCTCTGGACAACATTTTATTTTTGGCCCCTCATTGATGTTAAAACCTGCACTGTTTTTCCTTTTTCTTTCCTGAAGGATCCAGAAGGAATCTTGAAGGACCTTTTCCAACTAACAAAATCAGCTCACTTCATCAGATCAGATGTTATGCCTTTTAACAATAAAATTTGTTAGTTGGAAAAGGTGCTACCAGACTCCTTCTGATTTTTTGCCCCCATACACTAACATGGCTTTCCTGCTATAATGAAAGATTCTGTGACGACTGATTTATTTCAGGTTCACATGGTTAAAATTTTAAAAATGAGATTGTTACATCCCTACATGAATAAAACAAAGAGTCACACTTTAGTTTCTGTTGTAATTACATTCCCTTCCCTCCTTTGGGTGAAATTAAAATTTGGGGGGGGGGGTTCTGCAAATATCAGACTTAACAAATTCAGAATTATTAATTTCATAATTTCTGTGATAAAGTAAACCCTTGAAAAACTGTTGGCTTGATGAACCTTTTCCAATCCAATACTGTCTATATTTTTTGGAGAATACCAAACCCAGTACTCCTGGTCATTTGAAAAATCTGGGCAGAACAGTCCAGAATATATCAAGGGCATATCAAGATTGGGAATAAGTAGTTGTGAGATAGATAAACAATCTTAGTTCTAGAAAACTATGCTAATTACAGAATGATTAATGTATGATTTAGTTCTAGGGAAAATCATCCAGTCAGACCCTGAATTATGTAGTTTAACTCAAGGCCTAAGTCAAAAACAAATTTGGTGTCTCCCATTGATTGTTGTAGGAAAATCACACTTTTCACTTTTTTTAGAGAATGGGAAAACAGTTATAACACAGCAGACAGTTCTGGGGAGAGTAAGCTTGCCCAGTGTGAAAAGAAGCTCAGGGAATTTCGAGCTGGACCTCTCTGAAAATCTGTAGCTATTACACTCTGTGAATATTTATTAAATATTAAAATTAAATATTCAACGCAATAAATTGATTTGGAGCATTGAACCAGTTTGATAAATTAAATCAATGGTTCAGTTTGATCATATCAAGTCAAACATGTCCAGATCAATTTGTATGGATTCATTTAAATGAGCTGAATGTATCCAAACTGATTTAATTGGATTCAGATACTTTCTACACATGCACACATGCATTTTAATAGTACAAATCTGAATCAATTTGAATTTAGGTCAGTCCAAGTCAATCAAATATCCAACTCATATCTTCTTTTTAAAGGAGTTTGAGTGTCCAGATGAAATCTGATAAATTTTCTCAATTAATTTGAATGTTTGCACAATCCTAGTAACTATGTTGTTTCTGGACATACTTTTTTGAGATTTAAAAGCCATAGTTGCCTGTTCTGTGGACATAAAATGTCTAACTTTAAAGGTGACTGAGTGACAAAGTAAGTCTTTGCAAATATTGAGTAGCAGAAAAAAAATATTCATTAATCCCCTTATTGTTTATCTTATAAATTCCACAGATTTTGTCCAAAAAACTATGTCCTCAAACACCCAGAAAAAGTTAAGATTCTCCCATCCTTATTGTAATGAAAGAAACCTAAACACTGGTTATCCTCAGTTGGAAAACATGAACAAAGTAAGAATTGCATGTTATCCTGCAGCAATCAGACTTCAATAACCATTATGACCATTTGGTCCCAAATCATTGATTTTTCACAGAAATGGAATGGGTAAGTTTTTAGCTCCCTGTCAGAACACATGCTTTGCATGCTCACCCTCCCAGATTCAGCATCTGGGAGGTGTCTGTCAATCAGTGTCAGAAACTGCCTGCCAATCAGCATCAACACTGCTGAGCTGGACTGACTAAGAGACTGACTCAGTATAGGTGTTCCTTGTTTAACAACCCCTCATTCAGTGACCATTTGAACTTACAAGTGAAGCACTGAAAAAGTGGTACTTATGACCAGTCCTCATACTTACAATGGTTGCAGCATCCCTGCAGTCATGTGATCATGATCTGGGTGCTTGGCGACCATCTTGCAATTACGATGCTACTGTGTCCTGTAGTCACAGGATCACCATTTGTGACCTTCACTGCCAGCTTCCGACAAGCAAAGTCAATGGGGAAGCTGGCAAGAGGTCGCAAATGGCAACCACATGACATTGCGCTTAATAATGGCATGGGATTAACTTAAGGATGGCAATTGGAAGTGCCAAAATTGCCATCGTTAAGTGTGGTCATATGACCTAATGCTTTACAACCACATTGCTTAGCAACAGAAATTCCAGTCCTGATTACCATTGTAAAGTGAGGACTACCTGTATATAATTAGTCCTAAAAACATAATTAGTTTAATTTTCCTCTGTGCAAGAATATGTATGTTTTTCAGCACATACACACTAATTAATAGGTCTTTCTTATCAAATATCTCCATATTTTTGGCTGTTCAAAGAGCAGCACTAAGGAATTAAAGCCATTCAATAAGTTGAAATTGAAATATTTTCTGTAACTTATCATATATTTTCTTTCTTTCATCTTGCTCAGCTACATAGGGCTCTGTTTCTTAAAGACATGGACAGTTTTCTTGCCATGTCGCAATTATTTATGAATAGATTGCCTGACTCATTTTAAGAGGTCAGTTAGTTTCCTAATAGAGCAGAAAAAGTCATGGTTGTGTAAAGTTAGGTGCTGTATAGCTACAGTGCTTTCATTCTAGCATTCGTGGCATATTGATTTTTGCTGCTAAAAAGCAGACATTAAAATGGTACTTTAATGATGTTACCATTTAGAGAAATGCTCCATATCATGGCTGTCTTATCCATGTATCCTCTTCAAAACCAGTCGTTTCTTACATACATTTATAAAGGTAGCAGCATTCTTTCATGTGTCTGATGGTAGTCATGAAAAATTTGCTATGAAATGCTGCTATCTGAAACTCTGTTTCTTTATTTGTGGCAGGACAAATGACACAGGACTTCTGTCCTACAAAGACCATTTGCCAGTAACAGAACTTGTCATCACAGATACAGGCCGTCCAAATTCTGAAGCCGCTTATAAACTTGGACCTTTACTCTGTCAGGGTGATAGTAAGTAAATCTGTTTTATGAATTTAGGTCAAATGAAATCTGTATGTATCCATGTGTATCTGTGTGTGTGTGTGTGTGTGTGTGTGTGCGTGTGTGTTGATGCACACAGTTCATAGGACTTTCAGGTTAAACCAAATTTTGTTGGACTCAGCAGCTGATCATTTGGGGCATTCCTCTCATCATTGTTGTGAATGTAAGATTCAAATTCAGTAATTCTAAATAGTGTACATTTGATCTGGAAATAGTCATAACCTTATGCAAATGACAAAGATTACTTTTGCAGCTAAGCCTCTGCATGTTTGCAGAGAAAGTCATTCTACATTTACTGATACTTATTCGAAAGTAAAAGTGACCCCATTCAGGATTTCAGATTTAATATCATGCTAATACTTGAACTATAAACTTAGAGCAGAAAGGTAATAAAGCACATGAAGCTTTTGTATCTGTAAAAACTGATGAAATGTAATTTAGGTTGATACGTTCAGTGCTGCAATAAAAATGAATTTGAGTAAGCTCTTACATTAAGTTTGCCTTCAATAACATTTTAATTATTTGAAGCTCACATCCATTCTATTTTCTGCATCAATTTGAAATATTTTGGGTATACATTTTTATATGTATTTCTCCTAGTGAATCTGCTTTTGCCTTAAGAAAAATGCATATAGCAGAGATATCAGTACAAACAATATATAGTTTTGTAAACATTTCACCAGGGTATAGTATTGCATTTATTTGTCCTAATGTATATCATAATGAATAATAATAATAATGAATAATGAATAATGAATAATAATAATAATAATAATAATAATAATAATAATAATAATAAAAAAAAAAAACAACTCTCACCCCTATGGGTGGTATGTGTCTTCCTCAATCTCGGATCTCTACCAGAAGCCTGGGAGTTTGAGGGTTCTGTGCGGTATCTTGGCTGTTCCTAGCACTGCACTCTTCTGGACAGAGAGTTCTGATGTTGTTCCTGGGATCAGTTGGAGCCACTCTCCCAGCTTAGAAGTCACGGCCCCGAGTGCTCCTACCACCATTGGGACCACTTTGGCCTTTACTTTCCACATCCCCTCAAGTTCCTCCTTCAGGCCCTGGTACTCCTCCAGCTTCTCATACTTATACACATATATTTGCACTGCAGAATTTGAAAGAGGTATGAAAAATAAAGTTACATTCTCTATTGTTTTTGTTAAGATTAGAACCAAAAGAATTAATCCTCTCCGTTTAGTCAAAGAACTTATCAGATAAGATGTTAATGAAGTGACACATGCTTTGAATACTGAAACATTGTGAAATAAGATAGAAAGTGCTATGTATTTATATCCTGCCTTTCTGAGCAGAGAATTCCCTCAAAGTGATTTACAAAATTAAAACAAATAAACAATTATAAAGTTAAAATACCAGTAATATAAATGCAAAACATCCATGCTAATTATAGAAAAGCTGTAACTTATAATCATAGATTTGAAGAGGGACTATTTATATAAAAAGTGAAAAGGAAGAGAAACTCAAACTGCAAAGAATACTATGTCATGCTTGTTTCATGAGAGACACAGTCTTTAATTTTAAAATTTCTGAAACGCAACCTATGTGTTTTTGTTGCTAAGGCCTTGCTGATGTTTTGTGATATTATACTTCAGTGAGATTTGAATTTCTAAATGTTTGTCTGGTAATATTCTCCCATCCTTATTCAAAAGTATTTTTCAAAAGGCCATTACAGTTGGAATCAAAGCATGGGAAGAGACTGGCCATCAAATTTGTATTGCCAAAATAAGTTATACAGATGAATATTCTTTTAGCAATGCAAGCATGGGTTATTATAAAGCAGATTGGAACTGCAGCAGAGGACAAGGGGTTGAAGCTTGTGTCCTTGCATGTTACCAAAGTCCTAAATGAGATCAAGAAAAAAAGTAGAATCTAGATAGGCTTTTATAATACAATTTACAGAAGGAAAGGATTCTTAACTAGTTGCACCAGGAGTGATTATAAATTCCGTTTTTTCATACTTCCCTTACATGTCATCTTTCTGGGCATGCTTTTGCAATAAATGTATCCAGTCAATATTAGAACAGACAGCATCTGATTTGGCCTAACTCAAACTGCACTCTTTTTCAAAGTACTTAAACAGATTCTTATGCTCAGTGCACAGCTTTTCACTCATGTTTGGCAAGCTAGTACCATCAAAATATAGAAGGCATTTTAAAATATTGAAATATGTTTTCTTCAGAGGGTTTAGGGTTCCCCTCCCCCTTCCTGCCTACTCCTTGCACTTGCTTATAAGATCTATTTTCATTCATATTTAGCTAAAGTTTCAAACAATGAAGCATCAACATATGGAAAACATTTTAAAATATGAAAATCAGACAAATTATTGATAGCCATATCATAAGTCAGGGAAATGTATAAAGCTTACCTGTATTAAACTTCAAAGTATTATAAAACTATTTTATAATATATACTTAAAGATCAAGAATTGTGTGAAACAGAAAAGCCAATACTACAAGATTTTTCTGATTTTCTGCCACTATCATGTTTTAGTGCTAATGGAATTTTATACACAGGAAATTTATTATTAATTATATAACAGTATTTAAGACTCTTCTTGCAAAGCAGAAGAAAATGTTGTTATGGTTTCCAAAATAGAGTGTCATAAGGACTTTTGATAGAAAGGAATTTGTAGAAAAAGACCCTTTTTGTAATTACTTGCACTGGAATTTTAGTGAAAGTAAACACTACACATTTTCTGTGCTTTCGTTTTGTTTTGTCACATCAATTTCTGTTCTCATTTTATTGATAAACTGTAAAATGATAGTTAAATTAACTATCAAAATATTGTTTTTAAAGAAACTTTACAATCTTGAAAGAAAAGTTATGTTTCATATAAATATATTTTTCTTTTAAATTGGAATAGGTGCATATCTATGTCTATTTATAATTAACTTGGCTTCTGTTCATGAACTTTATTTTTGTTTATGGACAGCTTATGGAAAGGTAACCTACCTTAATTAAGATCTTTAATTTTATAAATTAATTTTATAGACGACGACACCATAGGTGATTTTATTGCAGTGGTTAGCAATGTTTTGCATCATATGACATTGCTGTCACTAATATTGTCAATTTTTTATGGTTATTCTTATTCTTATTGTCATGATCACTGTCACTATTATGACTATTGACATCCAAGCCACAGTGACATCATTTCTGCCCTGTCTCTTTCATTGGAAGGAGTTGTATTGCGTAGTTGTAATTGTTACTTTTAAGGAAAATAGACGCATTAAACCTAGTAGAGGATTTACATGCTAACTTTCTTTGCTAATTTAAAAAATATATATGCCACAAAATTTTAGTAGTGTAATCAGGGGTGTTCTGGGATTGCAGATCCCAAACAAAAATGGAACATCATACTTCCAAGATTTTGCTATTTTCTTCCAGAAAGAAGGCTTTCAAGATGTAGACGCCAGTGAATTACACAGAAGGAAAAAACCTCTTCTCTATCACCTCACAGTGCAGGGCATGGAATAATAGATTTAAGTTACAGGAAGGAAAATCTGACTGAATATATGAGTTTTCTGTTTTTCTTTTGTTGTTGTTTTTTGATAGAACAGTTTGACAATGAAGACCATTATCTAGAGAGATGATAGGCTCCCTTCCTCTTAATATTTTCAAGCTGAAACTAGATAGCCAATTGCAATGCTTCCATTTGGATTCTTGGACTGAGCATAGAGTTGGACTTCCAGCTCTATGATTGTATGAGTTATCTACATACCAATGGTTTATCCAGCAACAATTAGCCTCAAGATGCATGTAAATTATCTTCATTGATATAAATTTTGTACAAATGTCCAGTGTATCATATACTACAGTTTTGGAGTTCAGATGAGAAGTTAGAAGGGCTGGCTTTCCTTTTCAGCCAATAAATATGCCTGGGACAAAAGAATACATTTTGTATCTCAAACAGAAAAGTTTATGGCATTCATTATATCTATAAGCTCTTTGGAAAAAATAGAAAAGACGCCACATATCTTCACTTTGTTAAAACATTTCATTTATGATGCATAGACTATAACTTCCTATTGCCATGTTATATTTTGTTTCTTGTGCAGGCTGAAGAGCTGCATAAATGGAGAAAGAAAAATTCCCACAACATTTTTTAAAAATGTATATTTTTTCCAGTATTCATTCAAGAATAAGTAAGCCACTTGACTCCTCCTCAGGACTGCAATTTGAAATACAGTTCCCATAATCTCTTACTATTGATCATGCTGCTGATACATTTGGGTGCTAAAGTCCAAAACATCTAGCAGGCATGAGGTTGTACTTGTTCTACTTTAATTAGCACAGAAGGAAAAATTCTGAACTGTTGGGCCATCAAAAACATTGGTAGCATTATTGGAGAAAATCTGCTTCTTGCAGTTTCTTCAGTGGTCATTTTTAAGGATCCTTCTGAATCCCAGTTCTCTGTATGGTCCAGTTATATAGGAAGGAATCATGGCGGCTTGGTTTTACATCAGTATAATTGTTAAGTATGATTGAACATCTGTAATCCCATTTCAATATTTGTTTTGGGCTCTGGATTGATGCAATCAAAGTTCCCAAATATATGTGACTTAAAGATGCATCTGCCACTGTGCTAATGTGTTAGCACTAAGGAAATTGAAGACTTCTGACAAATGATAATGGATTTCTAATGTTTCAAATTGCAATTACAGCTTTATAAAAGATTTATATGAATTTATATTCCAGCTTTTGTTTTGTGTTCCATTTGCCTTCTTGCTGAACATCATAAAATATTCTTGAGTATAACTGAAACTTGAGTTTAAAATTGTTTTCATTTACAATTTATCTATCTTTTTTAAAATCACATTAAAAAAAGAAGAAAGAGATTATGAAACTAACTGGATAAAATATATTTAGCTTTCACTGGTTGATATTGTCTGATTTAATTCACCATGTATTTTACAGTAGCTTATGAAAGAGACAAATACGTAGGCAAGGATATAGCAGAAATGGCATGAAGAGATTTAAATATGCAGCATAATGTCAAACATACTAACTTCAGGACTTAGTTCTATTGAAAATTCATAAGGAAAGATCAATGTTTCCTAGTGTGCTCATGAATTGCAGAGTGACTGGTTATTTCATGTAACACAGCTAAGCACTCTTAGAATTAGTGCAATAGCCTTGTTCTAGTCTTTGGGTGGGAGGTGAGGGGTTGCTAATGAAACTGTAGCATAGTGTCCATTAAAATTAGCTAGAAAATGTGCATGCAAATGCTAGCACACATTTTTATTTTCCTTCCTCTCTTCTAATATTTTATAATCTACTTATTGGTTCTGAAACAGACGTTCAAGGTGGCTAACAGACAAAGACGAAAATAAGAAAAGTTTGTTAGTGCAGTAGGCAACAAGAAAAGAACAATTAAACATTCACAAGGAAACAAATAGTAACAGACATTAGCATAATGTCATTCAGATTCATGATGACGGGATCGCTTTCATCATCCTCAAAAGGCATCCAAGAGGAACCAGAGTGAGCCTCCCTGAGCTGGCATAATACAATGTTGGGAAAGCAACGGAGAAGGTCCTGCAGTATCTCCACAAATTTCATTTTTTATGGTAGCATAATTTGGAACTAACTTTTTGTAGATGATATGGAAAAAAGCAAGCTTGAACTGTACATGAATTGTGGCACTCATGGATTGAGTTTCATGTGCAATTTCAAAGCAAGGCATCTAGTACAATCTTTTGGGATATTTAATATATTAAATAACAGTTCATTAACTGCAACTATATATATAATAGAATTTTCTACCTTTTTTTTTTTCTATATTTAGGAGAGTTTTGGAATGCAGCCTCCTTCAACACTGAAGCCTCATACCTCCATTTTCCCACTTTTCATGGAGAACTAAGTGCAGACGTGTCCTTTTTCTTTAAGACTACAGCTTCTTCTGGTGTGTTTTTGGAGAATCTGGGAATCAGAGACTTCATAAGAATAGAACTGCATTGTGAGTCACATTTAAATAAATTATTTCCATTGGTTTGTTCTGAGTATTCATTTTACATATCTTTACAATGTCTTGATTGCTGAAGTTGCATGAACATTTGAGAGGTAGCTTTACTAAAATGGACTTGAACAATCACAAGTTAGAACATATGAGCATTACACTACACTTAGCTGTGTCTTAACTTTAGAGGAATACATATA